ARMMAMATGAGGAGATATTTAACTTTCAAATCGCCACTCTTCATCCCCATGTTATCAAAGAACGCTTTTCATTTAGCTGATTCGTTCTTCTTTCTCTCGTTGTCATGTTCCCACCAATAACGTAGCTCCATTTTCTGGATATATACACGCACAGAACCGGCTACAATTCGCTCTAACAGGGCTAACGCTCGAAACTTCAACTTTGAAACCCTTCACTGTGGTCAAAATACATTATCGACTCAGCTGATAAAACCAAATGGTCAGCAGTTGATCAGTTAGTCTTTTGGTCTTAAAAGCGCTTCTGTCAGTCAGTAAGCCTACTAGTCTAGGGAATGAATAAAGGGGGTAAGTTTCTAGAGAAACTATGGTGCTGCGTAGGTGGCAGAGTATAACAAAGTAATTTTGGTTTTATGAACTGAGTTTATTATGCTAATTTGCCACCGTAAAGAGTTTCAAAGCTAACGTTTGACGCCTATGCCCTTCATTGCCCCTTCATTCCCTCTTCATTCCCTATGACCATAGGCTAACGCTCGAAAGGTCAGCTTTCAAACTCTTTATTTTGCATTATCAACTCTGTTGATAAAAGCAAATTACCATTTTAGTTAGTCGGTCTGTTACTTACTCCGTCATTTACCTACTTGGTGGGTTATTTTTATGTCCGGCCCGACATTAGTTGGTATGGAAAGGATTTTTTCTGTCTAATATCTTAGACTTTTACCTGATTTTTGGCACGATACATTGTTAGTCAATTTAGGATTGTTTGCTTTCAGATTGTATTGATTGGGTGCATCATAATTCCTGATAAAAATGTTTGGTGACATATTTAAGTAATATAGTCATGATACCTGCTGATGGATCCACTGGCGGAACATACACGGTCGCTGAATTAAAGGCTGCCGATACAGAAGAAAAATCTGGAAATAAATTAAAGTTTATTTTAGTAGACATACTGGGGACACTCTCTGAAATGTGCGTGTGTCAGGTTTCACATACAGGGAAACGAATTATTTTATCGTTGGATTGTTTCTACGTCGCCAGTTTCCTATTTCATTTACCGTGCTCTGACATCCAAGAAAAACATTTTCTAAGAACAAATTATGTCTGTTATGAGTTCATTTACTTACTAGTGTTGCATGAGACTTCGATCCAGCAAGTTTCAGTAAGCATAGAAGCCTTAGACGAGAGAAGATAAGCCGCAGAACTCAGAGAGAGCCGAAAAAAGAAGCTATCGCTTGATGGAAAGACATTTGAAGGTGTAGTCTGATCGAAAGACATTTGTACCTGTTGAATACGACATGCTGACACTAGACGAGAGAGGACTCCCAAGGATGGTGGTGGGGTAACATGCCACGGAGGATGAGGTATGATGCTGAAAAGAAGAGGTTTTGTTGCTTGTTGGAAAACTGTGACCTGTACCTGTTGAATATGACATGTTGACGCTGGACGAAGGAGAACTTGCAAGGATAGAGGTGGCGAATGCTGTTATGGAGGGAGTCGTATTACCTTTTAAAGAACAGATGTTCTAATTAGTATGACAGAAAACTTTGTAAAAAGCTTATAAGCCCAGAAGGCCCTTCTAAAAGAATCGAACATTCTAGTGCAACATCATCCAACAAAGTATTCCACTGATTTGGCCACCATGTTGAGCGATGATGCATGATGTTGGATGATGCGTGAGAAAGTTTGAATGTCCACATCATAAAACGTATGTATCACTCTCAGTGTGACCAGAAACGTCATACTTTTGACTTCAAATGTTAACATTACTGCACTTTCAACACGCTTACTAATTGCCGGTTTCACTGTCACACCATCATCAAACCATTCAACGAATAAAGTCAAGAATCAACTTTATCTCTCTGATATATATATCTCTTTGATAAATACATCGATCCTTCGAATATTTGTCTTCTCTTCTGAGAACACAAATATTCGAACAGTCTCGCAGAGATTCAAGTCTGTGCGATATTTTGAGCGGGATATTTTCGAAGAAGTATTTTCTTCAAACGTATAGTGCTTTGTATAGAGACGCCATGTTTGTGTCCCTCTGAGAGACACAAATATGGTGGCCGGGAGCGAAGGAAAACATATGTCATCGAGTTTTGCTATAAAAAGCTCGTAGTCGTCTTCTGAGTTCTCATAAACATCTATACCAATACTTATTCTCATACAGTGCCTGTTCAGATTGCGAAATCTCAGCGGATAAGGCGCTTTTTTAACCTAAGGGGCAGCATTGTCCGCCGCCATTTTAATTTCGTGTCAAAGAAAAACCTTAGAAATTCAACCTTGCTTTATCTTTGTAAAAAGATAAATCTTCAGCTGTCCTAAAAACTAACTAAACTAAAATCTCAAAAGGATTGATAATTCCTTGTTTTTTAATTTTGGGACGGCACGTGAAAACCAAGATAATATCAATATCCCTAGTAATTGTTGGAAGATTTGTTCGAGGCATTAGTGTCTAAGAGTTTTATTAGAAATGCGTTCTTTCAATTTCAACTATGTACAACATCGATCGTTCTAATCGCATAGCCTGCAGGTTTTCTTGTTTGCAATTGACTGGATGAACTGATTCAGAAACTGAAATTCAATCGATAGTGGATTTTAATATGATGAGAATAAAATAACTTGAAGAAAAATAATTTTAATTTTTATAATTTCCTCTTTGATGTCACGCCATAATATTTTCCACGTGACTCGAAGTTAAAAGAAACGTTCAAGAAGTTTCCTATTGGCATAGGACAGTTGCAAACTTTTTTCATCTGTTGATAAAGTCCAATAAAGAGAGGGGCTCAGGCGTTCGTCTCTTCAAAGGAAAGCTTTTTTTTAGATTAATTTGATTTCATTATCTTTCGTCAAATTTATCCTTCTTTTTCTTGTTTCTTCGTCCTATACATGAAAGGAGCTGGCTGTTCCCTTATCATTATGCTTCTATTAACCGTCGTTTTAGCCAACTGCACAAAAACTTCAATTGAAATAATTATACCCTGCGAAGAAAGTCGCCCAACTCACTCACCTTCGGAACCAACGCATACGCAGACATCATGACAGTTCGACGAATGAGACCAAGTCGAAGGAGATGATGAAATGGAAGAAGTAGGAGATAAAGGTTTGGAGAGAGTACCAGTTGAAGTAACCGGGAGGGTAGTTACGGGGGATCGAGACGTTGAAATAACTGAAATAGAGGCATGATCACAGGGTCAGTTAGACAGTCATACACTTGGTCTGTTCTCTTTCTTTAGTGTGGCTATGCGTTTGTCTGTCTATCTGCGCGTGCTTACCTGTTTTTCTATACTTCTGTCTATCTGTCTGCCCGTCTGTCTGTTTACTAATCTGGCCCCGGTTGTTCGAAGGATGGATAACGCTATACACTGGATAAATCTCTATGCGGTGGATAGCGCAGTACGTTTTGGTAACACTTATCCGCAGGATAGCGATTTATCCGTTGGATAGCGTCATCCGCACTTTGAACAACCGGAGCCTGGACGTCTGTATGCCTGTCAGTATGGGTCAGTTAGACAGTCATACCTATATGTCATTGAAAACCTCTCTAAAGTTAAATGTTACGTCAAATTTCCCGCATGTCGAGAACTGAAAAAGGTAAATAATTTTTCTTTATAAAAAAGTGTGTCCGTTATCCCTTTATCATTGACTTCAAATGTCAGCTTGAGCGTCCATAAACCAAAACATATATATAGCCTATAAAGGATCGAAAATTAAAATAACACATTTCCTTATAATTTTTTTATAAGAAATTGTATGGAGCTCTCCGAGATACTTACAGCGCGAGCCCCGTGTGTCTTCTCATGAGTTTTGATGTCCCGCCTACATTTTGACAGTCATTACATTTTCAACAATGATCGGGCATTACCCTATACGATCCTTCCACATCAAAATTCTCTTATGTCGCAATGCTCTTTGTTTTCGTGAGGCAGTTTTGTACATGTGTACATAACATTTTTGCCCATGCTAAGTGACAGTCATTCCTGATTAAAGATCAAAATTGAAATTGATTTTTGCTCACTCAAAAAAGGTATCGCTACATGGGCTATCATCAAATATAAATTGAAAATCGGCGTCCAAGCTTTGATTGTTTGCTGTGAAAACAGTTCAAAGCAGATTAGCGTTTACAAGTGCTATAAAGTTAAAAATGTTCGAGTGGAGAAGGTTGAAAATGTTCAGATTATTATATGACGTGACTACTACTAACGTTTAGCATACTTATCAACATCACATATTTAAAGAGTTTCTTTAGCAGGGAATAAAAAAGTCTTCCTAATTTAAAGTATTCTTCAAATCGTTCTCATAAAGAGTCGTTTCTTATATTCTATAAAGTTCGAATAGTAAACACCAAAGCTTTCGCACACGAAGCGCTTAGCATTCAAATAATTGTTATAAAGCTGATTTATCTCTAAATTATGGAAGGAGCCCTGTGCGATTTGGATCATGATTCTCATTAAGAAAATAAGAAAAGCAATAAAAAATTAATGAAAAGAAAACCCAAAAAAAACAGAAAGTTACGGAATACCGAGAATCCCTTAATTCATATAGCGTGAGATAAGATACGTATTAGTATGACAAAAGTTGACTTGAAAATTACTTGAAGTGGTGCTGCCGCTTCCAAATGGCATAAATGTAGCAAATATCCAGATTTTGATGAGTGTGGATCCAATTCCCCAGCGTTCGTCAGGTGGTGGATAAAAGACTGAAATATTTGAAAGTTGAAAGAGTAACAGTTATGGAGCGCCATCGTAACTAAATAGTTGTGTTGGGTTGTGACATTTTCTCTGAGCCCATTCATGGAAATGCATAAAGTTTTATATGTTTTATGAAGGTTGGTCTTTCGCATCATGAAATAACGTGAGGTAAATTTAAACCAACCTTTCGGAAGATCCATCATTTAGTAGCGTTTCGTCTTCGTTGACCCTTCGTGACTCCTTCCAGACACAAATTCCGGTACAAACAAGGCAAGAATTTCCACTCAAAGTGGTTTAGAAATTATTTTTCTTGTTTTTTACTGTAATGATCCTTGAAGCTCAAGCTGAACCAAAACTCGAAGTTTCTGGAGAAAAAAATACCCACTTCTCCTCGTAAATAACGTTGATTATGACGCATAGTGTCTGATGACTCTCGCTGTGTCGGTTGGAGTCCTTTGATGTTACTATGGTAGGTTCATTAGTAGAGAAAAACAACCGATCACGACGATTTTGCGAGAAAATTGGAATAAATAGCATCTGTAAGTGGAGATGTCGGGTTCGCGATTTTGTTTATTTGTATTTTATCACTGGTGACCATAGAAAAGTAGAAAGGCCTCCAGTTTAAATATGCCGCTTGCGTATTTCAGTGCTTATTATTTTTTTCAGAGGTAGGAAAAAAAATTATCTCTTCTTTACGAACTCGCGTATCAAAATCATGAAAAGTATCGGTCTGTCGAAACGCCGTCAAAGTGAAGCAGAAGGAAAAAAGGATTGGTTAGTCATATTATTTTCAACCAAGCTTTATAAACAAAGGAATGACTTCATAAAATTACTTTGAAAAAGTGAAAGGTCATCAAGGAACTAAACATTGTGTCAAGATTTGTTTAGAAACCACGGTACTTTGTTTTTCTGAAGCTTACAATGGTAGGGCTAAATTCAACGGCATTAAATCTGGAGAATCGTCAGTGGTAACCACTGTTTCAGTTTTCTACGGCGTAAAAGTTATCGAATCGCGAAGCGATGAATGCGATATTGGTTTTCAAGAGCAATTTAACGCGGAAATCACGAATAAAGTAATGGATTTTACTTGAATCGCATAACCGAATAAAAAAAAGAGAAAAAAAAGAAACAGCATTAGTTATGGTTGTTTTGTATACGTAGATGCGAAACAATATCGCTTGCCCTCGTTTTCAACTCCTAACTCCACGCTAACCTCGCTTTGTTAACCAACCAGATGCGAGATTTTATTCAATGATGCGATTCTGCCGCAAATTTCGCAACAGAAACCGAAGGAATTCGATGAGTGAGAGTCGCATTAAATCCCCTTGTCAGGCTAGCTATAAAAAGCGTCTCATTTGACTTCGGTTTTTCAGTGGAAGAAAGACAAGATTTTACACACGCCATTGCAGAAAACAAAGAGCAGGCTCTCACAATTTCAAAACATACATTTGCATTCACTTATATAATTTGACTTTCGTGACATTTTAAAATTGAACAGAGATAAATCTTCGAAGATTAATCCTCTTTGGAAATAAACAGTACTTTCTGCAAGATCTCTAGGCCTTTTTTAAAGAAGACCGTCGCTACGATCATTTAACTCAGTCGAGTGTTTGCCATACCAGTGTTGTTTTTCATTCGAAAGTGTACATGCTCTTCAGTTTAGTCGAGTGTTTGCCATACCAGTGTTGTTTTTCATTCAAAAGTGTACATGCTCTTCAGTTTCAGGTCGTGACAGATACCAATTAAAACTGTTTCAAAGCTGGCTTGGAAGCCTTTTTACTTGTACCAGTAGGTACAATAAATGCAATGTAAATTTCAATGTTTCGGTGAAGCCTCTCTCTTTAATTTAAATAACTTCTGTTTTCTTTATCATCTACTCACTAAATATTGTTCAGTTTATGGAGGAGCTTCCCGTGATTTATTTATTTATTTATTTACTCAAATTCAATTACACAGTTAATCAAAACAAAAACAAAAACGAGGAGTTAAATATATATACAAGTATAAAAAAGAGATATCTGAGTAATTAGGCCAGTTTGTACAGAGTTCTAGATTCCTTATTTTAAATAGACTGCCTGTGATAAAATACAAAAAAAATCGTAATTATGGCCCTAAATACCAGCCTAGGTCTGTCCAATAGGGACCTCTCGTCTGGTGAATAATTTAGATATCCTTTTGGAAGTATTGTACTTTAAGTGTACAGATCGACAGTACTGGCTACTCGATGGCAGGTTTCGACACTTGGCTACCTGCATTACTAGCCACCGCGCTAGTGATTTCTAAAATTTATCATATAAGGGGAAAAATTACTGAATTG